ACCTGCCTCCTGAAAAATCTGTAAGTCAAGTAGCAACAGTTAGAACGAGGACAGACATGGAACAACGGACTGGCTCAAAATTGTGAAAGCAGTACGTCGTGGCTATATATTGTCACCCTGCTTATTTAACTTATATGCAGAGTATATCATGTGAAACGCTGGGCTGGATGAAGCACAGGCTGGGAGAAATATCAATAACCTGAGATATGCAGATGACACCACACTTATAGCAGAAAGTCAAGAGGAACTAAAAAGCCTCTTGAATAAAGTGAAAGAGGAGAGTGAAAAAGCTGGCTTAAAACTCAACATTCAAAAAACAAAGATCATGGCATCTGGTCCCATCATTTAATGGCAAATGGATGTGGAAATGATGGAAACAGTGACAGACTTTATTATCTTCGGCTCCAAAATCACTGCAGATGGTGACTGCAGCCATGAAATTAAAAGACACTTGCTCCATGGAAGAAAAGCTATGACCAACCTAGACAGCCTGTTAAAGAGCGGACACATTACTTTGATGATGAAGGTTCATCTAGTCAAAGCTATGGTTTTTCCAGTAGTCATGTATGGATGTGAGAGTTGGACCATAAAGAAAGCTGAGAGCTGAAGAATTGATGCTTTTGAACTGTGGTGTTGGAGAAAACTCTTGAGAGTGTCTTGGACTGCAGGGAGATCCAACCAGTCCATCCTGAAGAAAATCAATCCTGAATATTTGTTGGAAAGACTGATGCTGAAGCTGAAGCTCCGGTACTTTGGGCACCTGATGTGAAGAACTGACTCACTGGAAAAGACCCTGATGCTGGAAAAGATTGAAGGCGGGAGGAGAAGGGGATGACACAGGATGAGATTGTTGGATGCCATCACTGACTCAATGGACATGAGTTTGAGCAAGCTCCAGGAGCTGGTGGACAGGGAAGCCTGGCATGCTGCAGTCCATGGGGTTGCAAAGAGTTGGACATGACTGAGCAATTGAACTGAACTGAACTGAATATCTCAACAGCCAGATGATCCTGTCACTCAGGCTTAGGTTCCAACCGAGGTTCTTAAAATTGTTGTGTGCCCCACATGGCAACCAAGTTCAGTTATACAGAGATGAGGGTTCCAGGGGCTCAGAGGAGGAAAGTCTTAAGGAAAGTCTCCCCACATAAGATGGAGTTCCAGCCATGCCTGTGGCTCCCTTCACCATACACTCCACACAACTCCTGGGGGGTGGGGCAGTGGGAGTACCAGCAGGAAACAACCTCCAAAAGGCTGCAGTGTTCATGAGGGTCAAGGATGCTGGGGCATCCTTTACTCAGCAGGTGAACGCTCTGCTCCAGGGTGGGGCAAATGGCTCGCTTCCCTATTCCCTGCTCCAAATATTTTTATGGCTCCTGAGCCAACAGGAAAACAAAGCCTTTTGCAGCCTGACTGCCCTTCTACATTCAATATACTGCCTCTCCCCAGATCCTCTCTTGCCAAAGTTTGCCCTATGGGGGGCTCTTTTCTTTGTGTAGCTGAGGCCCCAGCTCTCTTTTATCTTCTTTCTCTGTCGTCTTCTCCAAGCATCCCTCTCTGAATTTCTCAAAGTAGTTTTGTGAGGGCTTTCTGTCTGATGTATTCAGACATTGTCATGTAAGGTACAGGTCTTGGCCACACAGTTCTGAGATAAATCTACCTTTATATGGTGTATTCCAGAACAACTGTGACCCCAGAGCCTGAAGTTTCTGAGTCTAGTAATTGAGGAAGTGGTGGGTGACCTGTCACAGGAGGTGTGCAAGCAAAGCCACCTTGTAGAATGCTGGACTGGGGCCTCCTCTGGTAAGCCAGAGGGACTGCAGAGTGGAGGGCCTTAGACGCCTACAGCAACGAAAGGCGGGACACTGGGCATCAGGAAGGTAGCCAGGCAACAAATGATTCAACAAGCTATTACATGTCAAGCATTTAGAGTTCTACCTAACACAGGTTGCGTGCTCAGTCATTCAGTCATGTCTGACTCTTTGCAACCCCATGGACTGTAGCCCACCAAGCTCCTCTGCCCATGGGATTTTCCAGGCAAGAATACTGGAGTGGGTTGCCATTCCCTTCTCCAGGGGAATCTTCCTGACCCAGGGATGGAACCCATGTCTGCTGAGTCTCCTGCATTGGCAGGTGGACTCTTTACCACTGAGCCCATACCTAACACATAGTATTTGTTACTATTGTGAATGACCCAAACTGAGTAACCAGGAGTTTAGAAATCAGTAAATCCCTTACTCCCACACCTGATCATGAAGGAGATGGGGGAAACTGAGGTTCAGAGGAGAAAGGAATATGCCAGAGTATTTTGAGGGCTGGGCTGAGACTCGCACCCAGGTCTCTGCCTCCTAGGAGAGCCACTGCATAAAGCCAGGTTGTCTCCTTCTCAGGGAGAAAGAAGAGCTCTAGGTGGGTCTTTGCTGACTCTTTAAGAACCAAGCTGTTTTTCAACTCTTATCTAGGCAGTTGTGGTAAGGGGCTGTGGAATGATAGCAGGACCTGAGCTAAGAGCGTCAGCTGTCCCTGGGGAATAAACTCAGGAGTCTGCCCATGTCTTGCCACCCCCACCTGAAGCTCTAACCAGCACCCAACAAACAGCCTTCTCTTAAGACCTTCTTCTGCTCTGATTAGAGTTAGGGCTGTATTTCTGTCCTGTCCCTTAACCCATTAGCTCCAATAAACCACCCAGATTAGTAGGATGGATAAGAGTGACCAGTGACAGGCATCCTGAGCTGAAACAATGACTCTCCAAAGAGACTGAGTTCCCTGAAGGTAAGGCCCAGCCCTCCCCACTCTAAGGTTTCTAGCCTAGCCCAGGAATTCTAGGTCCTGAATTCTCAGAGCCCTGGGAAAAGTTCAATGTCTCAACCCTGGAAAGCTGGGCCAGACATGACCACATCAGTCAGCCCTTCACAAGGCCCAGGATCTCAGGACACAAAGCCCTCCCTGCCCCATTCTGGCCCAGTTCCTTCCACAGCCTGCCCAGGAGCCATGTGGCACCCAGACCACAGTTTCCCACCAGAGCCTTTAGTTTGCCTCCTTTATTTTACCAAAAATAACAAAGATAAATTTTCCCTCTGTTTCACAAAAAATAGATTGTCCCCATTCCGCTCCCCTCCTTTCATAATCAGCACTGGCAGTAGCCTAGACTCCAACTCCCAATACACAGTCCTCTTGGGAGAATCTTTGACGTCCCCCCCAACCCCGGACCCCCCAGCCCCACACCAGAATTTCTGGCAAAGCTGCTGAGCCAGTGTTTCCCTTGGGAATTTCTGGAGGCAGCTGTCCCAGGTCCAGCTGGCTCGCCCCAGGAGACCCATCTGCTCCCCCAGAGATCTGGCAGCTGCAGGGCCATGGAGAGGGGCATGATTTTGGAGGCTTGGCTCAGCAGACAACCCCAGCAGACCACAGGGGTGGTGGGGTACTCTGGCATCAGGCTAGCAATCCTTGCTCGAAGCAAAAAACAGCTGTGTTCTGGAGAGAGCTGTCAAACACTCCTTTGGAGTGCCTCTCATCTCCCTGTGTGGCAATCCACAGGCCTGGGGTGAAAATAAGAACCCCTGGTTTCTACTCCAGCTCCACAAAAGCTTTGCTGGGAGGCCTTGAACAATTTCTCCCACATCTCTTCTGGCTTCAGTTTTCTCCTGTGTCCACGGATGTTTCTGTAAGCGAGACTGGATGATCCTCAGATTCCTTCTGGTTCTGCATCCTGGCCCCCCAGCCCACCGTCTACAGGAGAGGAGGGCCCTGTCCCTGCCTCAGTTTTCTCACTTGTGTGTCTGGGTGCAGGGCTGGACATGGAGGTGCTGAGTAGTAAGAGCTGAATGACCATGCCAGTTTCTCTGTAGATAGCTATGCTCTGAGATTCAACCAGCTGGAATGTCTCAGTGATGGTTGGGAAGGAGGCAGGTACTTGCAGGATGGGGGCTCTCCAAGCCTGGAAGAGTCTGTTCACAGCTGTGTGGTCCTCAATATCCCAGATGGGAGATAAAGCTCTGGAGTTTCCCAGTTCAAGTTCATTAGCTCTGTGAGTTAGAGGATTATCTTCTACTGGGTTTCAGATCCTCACAACCACATCTGGAGATTTGGGGGGCTAGATTGGAGTGTATGATTCCTGATTTAAGGACAGAGGACCTTTGTAGACATGAGGGATCACCCCTGATGCCTAGGAGGCTGTCTATAACCAGGCCTTTCTGGAGGCAGAGGGATGAGGGAAATGATAGCGCATGAGCATCTCTGGCTGAGCAGATCCAAACCCGTGTTGATGGTGGGCCAGGATTCTAGGTACTCAAGATAGGGCTCCCCTTCCTAACTCCTACCAGCTCCCCAGAAGTCATGCTGATGGAAAATGGTGGCTTGGAAGGTTCAAATATGGAGCTACATCTAAAACCACAGTTTGTGCACTTAACACACAAGGTCAGGCACACCAAATGGGGTGACTGACTCGTCATCATTCCTAAGTGGTCATGGTCTGAAGGCCCTAGTCCCTACTTCCTTCCATCTATCCATCCATTTACCTAACATTTATGGAGGGTCCATGTGCCAGGAAGGGTCTAAGGCAGCTTGCTCTCACAGACACACCCCATAGTCAATATCACACATATACACACACATCTCATCTGTGTCCACTCACAGACCAGCTGCTCATGCTCTTGCACCTTTCTTGCTATCACTTCAGCCATATCCACACTCCCCAAACAGGCTTGGGAAGCGCCATGGAAGGGTCAAGTGTCAGAGCAGAAACCCTCTAGACTTCATGCTGGGGGGTTAGCTCCTCCTTTCCTCCTATCTTCCTGCCTTTAAGCTCTTCCTTTCTCTACTCCCAAGCAGTCAGGAGGACATGTGGCCAGATTCCTGAGAACCAGAAGTTCAGGGACTTTGGGTGTGTGGAGGGGCTCCAGGGCCTTCAGGTCCCTCTGCCACCAGACTTCTGAGGGTCCCCTCCCCTGGACACTCTGTGTATAGATGGTCCATCTGACAGTCAACAAGGTCCAGGTCTGGGCTCAGTGACAAATCCGCTCTGTCATCTCCCTCTGCAGAGACACAAGGTGGGGAGGAGTCAGTCAGAGCTCAGTGTACCAGGCAGCCCCTTCCCAAACTTCAGGGCCTGGCAACTCTTCTGCCTGAGCCTGGCCCCTGCCTGCCACCACCACCCCCCAACTCCAGGCTGCAGACCTGTGTCTGTAAACTGATACTTGAATGAATTTGCTATTAAAGTACAAAATCCCCTATTAAATGAGTTGTGGTCCCCTAATATATCCACTTGGGTATTGGATTTTCTCAAAGCATGGAGCCTTTGGATCTGAAAACTCACAGAGGCTAGCCCTGATAGGGGAGGGCAGTGGGGGCTTAGCCTCACCAGTGGCTCCAGCTCCCGTTGGTCCACCAGGCTGAACTCGCGGATGAAGTAATAGAAATGCTTGTAGCAGGTATTGACATGCGCCTCGGCCCCCATGCTGAGGATGCTGTCAAAGTGGTGGATGTAGACGTGTACAAAGACGCGGAAGAGGCGGGTCAGGATCTTGGTGCAGACCTGCTGGAAGTTCTTGGGGAAGGGAACTCCTAGGGGGTGGGATGGGCAGATAGATACAAGACATCAGCAACCTTTTGACGAAACTCTGCCCAACCCTGCCCTTCCCCCACACCGCCCAGGATGGCCTCTTTCCCTAGCATACTTCCCTGTGGGAAACAGAGATCAAGGTTTGCTTTCTCCCATACTTCCCTTTTTAATGAAGCACAAAGCTCACTGTGCCTCTCCGCTGCTGAAATACAAATCATCTTCCAATTTCCCCATCACCCTGAACAGGACTCTACAGCCTTGTTGGATCACTGACCAACCCTGCTGAGACTATGATGGAAGCTTTGCCACAATTCTCTCCAGAAACATATGCATCTGTAGGTGCTTACACACAACACTGTTGGATCCAATTCCAAGGGGAGTTTATCAATATCTGGGGCCCACTTTTTTTTTGGGGGGGGGCCCATTTTTAAAAATATGGGCCTTCAGGATTGAATCCTGTCTTCCCAGCATGGTAGCTGCTCGAAGCCTTTCATAATCTGATCCTGACTTGCCCCTCCAACCCACCTGACTTCTTCCCCTTTGCAACATTCACACAGCGGGCCCCAGACCCCAATCCTGAGAATTCCTAAATCTTCAAGAATGAATTCAGATATTTCTCAGTCCTTCAAACATTCAATAACACTTGCAAGAACCTTCCATCTGTGAGCTAGGCTATGTGCTGGGTCCTCTGCATCTTTAGCCTGGTATGCTAATGGATATGGCAGCCACTCTAGATTTGATAAAACAGAGGTGCATAAACATGGAACCACTTGCCCAAGGACACATAACTATTAATTAGTATAGACTGGAGGCGGGATTCAAGCCCTTTCTGCACTGCATCACAGCACCCCTCAAATAAATGCTATAGACCCTGCCAGTGAGAAAGCCCAGGACCTTCTCTGTGAAAAAGGCACAATTTCTGTACCATCTCCCATGCTCACAGTTGAATTTGAGGCTACACCCTCTTCTCTGCTGTGGCAGAGTCATCCCAGGGTTAAGGCACAGGCATCTGGGATCTCACAGGCCTGGGGGTGAAAACTAAAAGGGAACAAGAGCTCAGACACAGGCCCACACTGACTCACCCCACTCGATGAGGCCCTTCCCCTTCCTCAGTGCTCTCGGGTGGGGCTGAGCCCTGTCTCCCTGTGAGCTCTTCCAGGCCCAGCCCAGGTCCCTCAGACTTGTCCTGCCCATCTAGACTCGGGGTCCTGGGTCCCACAAGACCTGAGCAAGTTCTGAGTACCTCCTGATTCAGTGCATTGTCCGTCTCTCCACCTGTTTCCTCTCGTGTGAAATGAAGATACCTGGGTTGCACATAATAGTGCAGGAAAGGGCAGGCCACCAAATGGGGAGGGGTGTGGGTGGTGATTTGTGACTCAAGGCCCTCAGCATTCAGACTTCTCCCCTCCGGGCCTGACCACCCTGGCCCGCCCATCTCTGATTCCCATAACCTTAACAAAGATGCACAGGAGGCCAGGTAGGGCGGGCTGCAGTGATGAACACAAGGTCTTGCCAGCTTAGCTTCTAAGCCAACGCCCCCTCCGGCTGCCCTTGAGTGAGGAAGCAGGGCCAGGATGACGTCACTCATCTCCCCTTTCCACCCTCACCCTTCCAGGCTGCCCAGCTGAGCTAAGACAAGGCTCCTTGACTGGCTTGAAATGGAAAAATTCTTCTCTAGGACCCACTGCAGTGGAGAGGCTCTCTGGCCCCCAGTCCCGATCCCCTTTCCTTTCCTGGGGCCAGGAATCAGAAAAGACTCCCAAGCGGCAGCAAGTCAGATTAGCCCAAACAGGGTGACTTGCTAGGAGCACCTTGAGGCACTTGTTCTGGAAGATTCTGAGAATCATCATGGTCTTGCCTGGGTGGTCCCTGGAGGGACATTCAAGCTTCAGACAAAAAGAGGCCCCAGAGAAAACAAAACAAAACAAAACAAAAGGAGCCTGACCTGCCTGCCAGGCGAGACTCACCTACGCGCGTGGGAAAGACATCCTCATCGTTGATGAGGCCTTCGATCCAGTCCATGAGCAGCGCCATGTAGCGCGGCGCTGAGAGCTTAGCCGGCCGCCGGTACTGGCGCTCATCCTGCCAGCGGTACTCGTAGCGAGGCCCACCGGCCATGACCGGGCAGCTGGTCTCGCTGCAGCGCTCGGCCATGGTGCCGTAGATGAGGTTTATGCGGTTGAAGAAGTCCACAACGTGCACGGCGATCCAGTCATCTATGTTCTCGCCCGGCGGCAGCCTCACCACGCTGCGCAGGTCCAGGCCGGACTTGAGCGACGCCTGTGCCTTCTTATACAGCTCAAAGCGCTGCGTGCCCGGCTCAAAGCGCTTCCGCGGCCTGAACGTCTTGTCCTTGGAGAACACCTGCTTCAGGCACAGTGCCATGGCCAGGCTGGGCCAAGGGCCAAGGGGCCAAGGGCAGGACCTGCGGATGCCCTGCCAGGGCCAAGGGCAGAGGGGAGCATGGTGGTCAGGTCCTTACCAAATGGACTTGATTTCCGCCACATCATTGCCCTCTCACCTCTTGACTTTTGGCCTGGAGTTCTCAGCCTGGAATCTAAAGCCTCCTCATCCCTTCAATCCAGTATCCTGCGCTATTGCTAGCTCCCCTGGTTCCCCCTGCCAAGCTTTTCACAGCCCTCCCACCTCTTTTCTTCCCTCTCCACTTTCATTGTGTCTTAGAGAGGCCTGGGCCTAGGCTCCAAACAGGTGCTCCTCAGACTTGCTGTGGACTATTAGAGAGTTGGCAGAGGCTCCTGCAGGAGGCAGGGGCCTGGGTGAAATGATCTCTGGGGATCTCACGGGACAGTTGGTACAGCGTGGGACAGCCTGCCGGCATTGTGCTGAGGGTAAAAGGGGGAGCCCCCACCCTCGGCTTCCTCTGGGATATCCCGTAGTCCATCCGGCCACCGGGGATTCCCAGGGAGCAGGAGGGACTTTTCTACCAAAAATGTCCTTTCCTTTTACTACCCTGAAAGGAAAGAGCTCTCAGATGGCCAGCTGGGTGGCCTCTGAATGTGACTGCAGGCACTGAAGGAGAGGGGGAGGGTGGCAGGTCTAGAAGGGCACCACTTCCTCCAACAGTGGTTGGAGATCTTTGCTCCCAAGCCTGCCTCTCCAGCCTGAAGCCCAACCAGAACAAGCCACTGGCCCCTCCTGCTGCACCTGACATTGGGTAGACAGTCTTAGAGCTCCTACTATGTGCCTGGCCCTCACTGGGAAGCAGGAAAATGCAGTCACATCACCCAGTTGGGACCATCCAGAATTCAGAATTTGCTGTGCTTCTTAGAATTGAAGGATCTCAGACTCAGAACAGCCTTTGGGGATGATGATAAGAGCCCTAGGCTTTGAGACAGGAGACCTGGGTTCTAGTGTCGTCCACCATTGCTGGGTGACTCCTGCAGCAGGTGGGATTTGGCCCATGCAGTTTCCCGGGTCACTCACAGGCCAAGTTCCTGGGACTTCCAGAGTAATCACCTCATTTTCCCTGAGTGCTTGTGCTCTTGGGAAATGCAGGGACCCAGGTACCCACTGGAATTTAGCCACATGAACCCTGATCCTGACCCCAGACTGAGCACTAAGGCTGAGAGTAGGCTAAGCACTCAGCTGCTCCAGGCTGAACTCTGACCTGGCTTGACCCTGGTCAATTTGAGGCCTGAACTCTTAACCCTAGACTAAGGCTTGAAAATAGCCACAAAGCCTGGCCTTGACCTCAGAGCTGTATTTTCATTTCTCACACCTCTAGTAATACTGGGTCAGGTTTGGGGAAGGGAGGGTGGGAGCAAGGTGACAACTGGGTGTAACCAAAGGCACATGTGGGTTGTCATGTCAGACAACAAGTCAAGCTAGTGGAGAAGTATGAAACAAGGATTCCTCCCTGTACACATAACACACAGGCCAGGAGGGGAGAAGTCAAGTAAAATGAAAGGAGTTTGGAGGGTACAGGCGGGTCTCCCCACAGGATCTTGTCATCTTGAAAAAACCCTCCAAGATATGGCAGGTCATCCATCTGCTACCCCTCAACTTCTCACCCAAAGAAGTCCTCAGTATGGGACCCAAGCTTCCTGACCCTAGAGGAGATTTCCACACTTCACATGCCCCTGCATCTAAATTCTGCTTAGGGAACTTCCCTGGTCATCCAGTGGTTAAGACTCTGCGCTTTCAATGCAAGGGGCATGGGTTCGATCCCTGGTCAGGGAATTAAGATCCTACACATTATGTGGCATGGCCACGAAAATTAAAAAAAAAAAGAAACTCACATTATTCTTAGGGCAGGAGCTTCCAAAATCACACTACAATTAGTTGGGTCCCTGGGCTCTCCACCTTTGCACAGCCACCCTCACCGACAGCTACCAACAAACCTATCCTGGCATTCAACATCTCATCCTAGCTTTCTTGCCCCACTTCCCTAGAGCAACCACTCTGGGCTTCTTCCTGATCCATGGACAGCCCCCCCAACTCCTGCTTCTGTATGTTTTCTTACACTGGTCCCTGGGCTTGACTCCCACTGTCAAGTTGAACACTACCTCCTCCCATAGCCTCCTCTACTGCACCCAGATTTCTTTGTCCTCCAGTGGAGACTACTCTTTGGTCAATTTGTCCTCCACCAGCTTCACCTCCCAGCCTAGGTCAGGCCTGGTACATACTGGATGCTCAGGCTTTGTGGAAAGCTCAAAAGCAAGAATCACCGAGTTGAAACAGTCCTGAGAAATCAACTGGCGTAACTCACTTCTTGAATGGATGAGAAAACTGAGGCCCCGCAAGAGGACTTTAGGAGCCCGGGTTCATGCAGCAAGTCACAAGCAGGGCATCTCCGATGGCACAATGGGACACTGGGATAAGGTGGGGCATGACAACTGGTCAAGGGCCATTTTCCTGCCCTAGCTGCTTGCAACTGGTCTGGTGGAGATAAGGAGAAAGGCGGTGAGTGAAGGAAAAGGGGAAGCATCTTCCCATCTACTAGACCAACTTAATTCCTGTTCCCCCAACACACTGTGCCTCCCCCACACTCCACAGCAACTTGGGTGTCCTAACCAGTGAGCTAGGGTCCCACCTTCTTGCTGCAGAATGTCAACGCCTGGGTCTTTCCCTGGGGAAATGAAAGCTTGTGAGGGAGGGAACATGGATAGATGCCCTTGTATCCAGGCCATTGTCTGTTTTCACTTCCCACTCTCATTCCTTTAGTGAGTCTCTTAGCTCACAGAATCTCTGTCCCCTCCCTGGAACCATGGCTATTCCCCCTCTTGGCCCCTGTTTCCTAACTCTGGACGTCCTTTCATTCCTAAAGTGGCCAGTGATGGCTCGCTCCCTGGGTGGGCATCTGCGTTTCCCAAATAAAGGCCACAGAGGAGCCCTGCCTGCTTCTGACACTCAGCCCCCTGCCAGGGCCACACCTGCCACTCCTCCAGTCCTGACTCAGGAGCCTGGCCCCAGCTGGAAATCAGAATCCAGTCTAGAGTAGACCGATGTGTGTTAGCGGGGTGGGGGTGGGCGGGAGGCTGAGAGCAGAAATCCAAGATAAAAGTCGAGACGAGGACTCCCAGCTCCTCTCCGTCGTGCTCGGCCACCCACGACCACTCCTTGACCTCTCCCAGAACACCTGACGCCCCCGTCTCCCCAGCCCAGCAGCGAGGACCGATGGGCCGTAGGACCCAGAGGAGCAGGCCTGAAATTTCCGCCTGCGAAGACACGCCCCCTTCAACCGACGCGCCCCCACCCCACCCGGACTTTCCAGCTTCGAGTCCCGGACCCCGGAACCAGGGTTGTGGGCAGTCTGCTCCGGGCGCAGGTCGCCTGGGGACGGTGCCAGGCCGGGACAGCCGAAGAAATGAAAGTGGAAGAGAGGCTGGGCTGTGTGCGCGGCGGGGCGTGGGGGGAACTCACTCACGGGGTCCGCCGGGTGGGTTAGCGCGAGTCTTCTCTGTTCGCGGAGTCACATCCCCAGCGCGTGGTTCTCTCCTTCTGCCGGTTCCCGGCAGTGCCGGTCTTCTCGCTTGTCTGCCTGCCTGCCCTGATGAGCCCGCTGTCGCCCTCCGCCCCCAAGGCGACGCCTGCTCCGCCCAGGCCCTCCCGGCCCCGCCACGCTGCGGCCAAGGGGCGGGGAAGGGGCGGGGAGAGAGGACCCCCCTCCCAATACCTTCGCCTTTCCGGAAAGTCCATTTCGCTCCCCCAGCTTCCCAGGGCCAAAGGACTTGGAGCTGGTTCTCTTAGGAGGGCCAAGGAGGCAGTCTCAGTTTCCTTGACTGTAAAATGGGGACAAACCCATTTTATCCAGCTCTGTCTGGAGCTGGATAACGGTGGTTTCCTTGCCCTCCTAGAATCTTCAGTGTTTCCCTTGTCGCTGAGTTCAATAGAGATCAGATCTGCCATCCACTCCCATACCCTCAGCTTCTGGCAGAGTGGCTGGCACACAGCAGGCACTTAATACCCATTTGCTGATTGAATGAACGACCCCCTTGGGAACCATTACCTCAGCACTCAAAGGACTGGCTCCCGAGGGTGTTCAGATCAGACTTTCACCTCACTCACCAGGGCTGGGGTTTTGGCTCAGGCTGGGCAGATTCTCCTCACTCCTGGGCCAAATCATCCCATTTCCACCCTTTCCCCTCACTCACCCACATTTTTGTTCCAGCTATTTCCACTTTGGAACATCTCTTTTCCCTCCTTTCTTCTAATCAGATCCAAACCCTTCAAGACCTGTTTTGCTTTCCTTATTTTTCTACCTGGGTTCTTTCCCCCTGAGGGCAAACACATACCCTGCAGAAGCACAGAATGCGCACTGTGGGTCTCAGGCCCAGGGACCAGTTGGCAGGCTCTGCCCTGGGATGGGAGGGAAGGGTGGCCGCCTTCTATGGTAGGAGGGCCAAGGCAGACAGATGGGCTGCAGAAGTTGCTCTGGAGGGGTGCTGGAGGTGAGCAGGTGGGGAGAGTGGCAGGAGGCATTTACATGGCTCAGATACCCCACTGGGCTCCTCTTGTGTCTGGAACGTCTGCTTGCTGGGTGGCATGAGAACACACTGGAGTCTTAAAAATGAACTAAAGATTCATTTTATGTTGAATACCTATTTTTGCCCCAGTCTAAAGCTGCCACTTTGTGCGAGAATGGGGAGATCAGGTGATGGAGCTGACCCAGTGGTAACCTTAGGTGCTGATGGGTCAGCCTGGGGTGGGGTGGGGGACCAACACACAGAGATAACACAAGATCAGAGCTGAGCCATCCAGGTGTGAGAACTTGGTTGTGGACTGACTGAGCACTTGGTAAGCGTGGCGTTACCAGCAGGAAACACATGGAATACCCAAAGTGGGTGCTCCAAGGAGAGTTTAAAGAAAGCAGTATTTAGAGCCATAGTCAGGGTGTAGGAAAACCACAAGGATTGCGTATCACAAAAGGACTAGCAGCCATTTGCTGTCTGCCCAAGGCTGGAGGGGTGCTGGGAGGGAGAGGTGAAAGTGGGAGCCGTGAGGATGGCACTACTGACCAGATTTGTGGCCTGAGCTCCACCAGCATACCCTGCCTACAGCAAATCATACTGTGAAGGACTGGGGGCAAAAAGGGGCCTCACTTCCCTCCATCTTTCTGGGAAGGTTTCCCCATTGGCCAAATCCTACCAGAAGCCAAGGACAAGGGAACCAGTTGATGTAGCCCATAGAGGTCAGCCTCCTGGGACCCAGAGCTGGGAGGAGGAGGGTGGAGAGTGCAGAAGATTCTTGGCATGTTGGGCTCAGGGACTTTGACTTTACAAAGGAAATAGAAACTGGTTGTGCTTATCATTCAGTTCTAAATATTTCATAATTTCATTGTCATTTCCTCTTTAACCCATGGATGATTTAGAAGTGTGTTTTTTAGCTTCTCAACCTATGGGAGGTTTATATTTTTCTTGTTGACTTCTAATTATATTTCACTGTGGTCAGAGATCATGGTCTGTAAGATTCTTTGGAATGTGATGTGACTCTCTCTGTGGCTTTATACATGGTCATTTGCTGTACCTCTGAACTGGGTTTTATGAGACAGGCAGGAGTTTGCTTGGTAAAGAGTGAAAAGCACAGAATCTTACATTGTGGGAAATTTAGATGATCCATTTTGGAGAAACTTCAGAAGCTCCCAGCTTATCCACAGAGCCCCTGGGTGTCTGCTTCAATACAAACCAACAGGCTGGCATGTGGGATGGGAGGCACGTGGAAGGATTGAGAGAAGCTAGAGACAGCCCAGATCCTGCAAACACCTGTACACCCTTCCTGTTGCTCTCAGTCTGGGCTCAAGACACTGTATTCTTCTAGGAGGTCCTGTTGAGGCTGAGAAGACTCAGACCTTGGAGAACAAGGTCCTGGCTTTACCTTGTATTAGCTGTGTGTCCTTGGGGTACTCCAGCCCTCTTTGATGGCATGCTGAAACACCACAGCACTACATACTGACACAGGACAGGCACGGTTTCCTGACACTGTGTCCTGAGTATGACAAGTCCTCCAATAAGGCCATCTCTGAAGCTTGGCAGGAGTCAGCAAGGACCTAGTTGAGGAAATATCCTCTCCCACTGCATGGCCCAGACTTCTCAATGGGAGAATCAAGTGACATGGTAATCAAGTGGCCTGGAATGCTATCCAGACCTGGACTCCTGCCCTGCTGTATGTCTCTGGGAAAGCCTCTGCCCCTCTCTGGGCCTCAGCTTTCCCCCATCTTCCAGCCACAAAAGCATCTTCCAGACATACCTTTCCAAGTGCCTTATCAAGACCAGCTTCCTGTTCCTGCCTCTGTGGGCCTGTACCCAGTGACTCCGTTAATACAGAGTGACCTCTTCATGGGAATCCCCAGCCTGTCCTATGCCAGGAAATGATCCCCCCACCAACACTACACTCCTCCAAGAATGAGCAATAGTATCCCCAGTTCACCCCACCAGGCATCTGGCTGTTCCCGTAGCGTGATGGAGCTCACCGTCTCCTCACTAGCCCGAGAAAATGTTTCTATTTCAGTTTCTGTCCCTCTCTGCCCAGAAGGCAGAATCTCCCATCCTGGGTCTTTACTCCTGGCACATTGAGGGAAAAGCAAAGGACATTCTTAGGGTGTGTGTGTGCATGCTAAGTCGCTATAGTTGTGTTCGACTCTCTGTGAACCTATGGACCATAGTCTGCCAGGCTCCTCTATCCATGGGTTTCTCCAGCCAAGAATACTGGAATGGATTACCATGCCCTCCTTCAGGGGATCTTCCCGACCCAGGGATTGAACCCACGTCTCTTATGTCTACCTGCACTGGAAGGCAGGTTCTTTACCACTAGTGCCCCTTGGAAAGCCCACCTCTCATGGCAGTAAGAGGAATTATGGTTGGACTTTCTTTCGTTTGAGGAAGACAAGGTTCAAGGGAATATGATAGGGGAAGATAAGGTTGAGAAGCATGTACATCAAAATTCTGTGTGACCTCTCTGAGCCTATTTCTGCTTCTCCGGTGGCTCAGTGGTAAAGAATCTGCCTGCAATGCAGGAGATGTGGGTTCAGTACCTGGGTTGGAGAAGGAAATGGCAACCCAGTCCAGTATTCTTGCCTGGGAAATCCCACGGACAGAGGAGCCTGGTGAGCTACAAGTCCATGGGGTTGCAAAAGAGTTGGACATGACTTAGTGACTAAACAACAACGATACAGAAGCAACAACAACAGTAATAAAAATATACTTCCCACAGAAGAGCTGTGAGGATCAGACATGCTAGACCTTATAAACAGCAGAATGTTTTGGCCAGTCTTTCTGGGAGTGCTGTCTTCAAGCACCCTGCAGGTAATAGGGGATTACCACGATCCCCGAAGAGGGATTGCACTCATTTCTGTGATCCTGGAAGGTGGGGCAGAGGCCAGGACAATACAGAGAGACACTTGGCACATCAGAGCTATCCAACCATGCTGCCTAGATGGTTGCACTGACTTTTCTGGAGGGACATGTGTAAGCAAAAGTGGCATAGCTCTCCCATCACCCTCCACCATGTGACACAGGCTTCAGAGGCTCCAGTCCCTTAGAAGAGCAGGAGGGCCCTCTTGACTCTTGAGAAACTTCCTCTGTGCTCCAAGGTCCTCCTCCTTCCCAGCTCTCCACCCACCTCTTGAATTGGAGGCATCTCCCTCACCTCTCTGGATTTCAGGTCTTTCATCTTGGGAAGGAGAACTCTAGAGGCTGTGGCAGAAGCCTAGGGTGCATAGGGGCCTTAGGACAATTTCACAGCTCCCTTCCCTCCCCCCTGAACCTGACTTCCAACATGGCCCTGCTAGGCATTGCCCCATCCTCCAGCTGCACACCCTCCAGTCCCTTGGGTTAGTTCTCAGCTCAGGAGTGTTTCAGGAGTGGAGGTGATATTTGGAGTTGCGGGGGAGGTTCACCAGTATCCCAGGCTCAGTCTTCCATAGAGCCCACCATGAAGCTGGTACAGGAAGTTCTGTCTAAGCCGATCCGATCCTCTGCCACAGTGGAGCTTCACATTGAGCCTCCAAGGCTGCCTGCCTGGAGTACGATACCAGTTCAAGGCCCTTCTCCTATAGGAAAGCCTCCTCCACCTGCTCCAGTCCCCATGGCATTTTCTTCCTTCCTCCACAGCATCCTTTCTCCAAGTGAATTCTGTATCATTTTCGCAACTTCTATGTGTGTCTAAAATTATTAAAAAATAAAAGGTAAAAAAACAGACTTAAAAGACATATCCAGTTACAAGGTATGGATCTTATTTGGAGCCTAATTTGAACAAGCCAACTATAAATAGAAAAGTTGTAGGATTAACAGATACAAGCTACTATATGTAAAATAGATAAATATCAAGGACTTATATTGTGTATCAGTTTTTTGTGCTATATTCTGTGCTATATTCCCTGTATAGCACAGAGTACTATATTCAATATCTTCTAATAACCTATAATGGAAAAGAAGTTGAAAAAAAAAAGAAAAAAGAAAAGAAGCTGGAAAAAAAAATCTGAATCACTTTTACTATACACCAAAAACTGGCACAACATGGTAAATCAACTGTACTTAAATTTTTAAAAAAACACACAAAAAAAGGTAATCTATAATGAAATTCATCATTAATGGATCTAGAGTGAAAATCAAATTACCATCTCCATAGGTGTCAGAAAAACATTTGATAAAATCAACACTCTTGATTTTTAAAAGTAACTCTATAAGATAGAAGTCAAGTTCACTTTTCCTAATGTGAAAAAATATATCTTTTTCAGATCCAAATGGAATAGTTAGGGAACTAATATTATTTTTTTCAACACTGT